TACTAATAGACTAGGTAGTCTATTTTAACTATATAGTAGCTTCTAGTAGCTTAGTTAAATAGGCCTATAGATTAAGGTTATTAAATTCACTAAATAATATAGTAGGCTAGGTTAGTATAGAGGCTCCTATTACTACTGTAGTAGGAGCCCTCTTTTTCTTCTTACTACCTATTATGCTATAATAAGTAGGTATAAGATGAAAAAGCCAGTTGATAACTACTTAGGTGGTAGTTAAATATAATTTTCAGTGTTCTCCCAACCAAAAATGAATAGTAGGGGGGTTTTGGTGTTGGCCAGAGAGTTTTTGTTTTAAAATTAAGATAGTCCTACTAAAGATAGAAAGAGCTATCTATACTACTAGATAAAATGAAGAGGCCCTGGCTAAGGATAATAATAATAATACTAATAATAATAATAATAAACTATAGGTATTATTTATAGAGCTACTAATCCCTATCTATATAATAATAAACATTCTATATATTAGGTTAAAATAGTATATTACTTAGATAATTAAATATTATAGAAGTTAGATCATAGCTAAATATATTCCCTAAATACTTAATAGATACTATATAGTCTTTAATCTAATCCTAAAAAAGAATATTAATAATATATTAGAGGATGAATAAGGATAAATAAATTTATTTAACTATAATACTAAGTTTACTAAAGCACTAGAAGAGGATTTTACTAAATATTACTAGGGTAAACCTATTATAGTATTATATACTCTTCTTATAACTATACTAGACTTTACTATTAAATACTTCTTTACCTAATATATTAGGTAGTTACTTATTAATCTTAAAGCCTGGTATTTTAACTATCCTATAGATAAATATAAGTAGCTTAATATACTACTTACTAAATAGGAACTATACTAATTACTATAAGTTTAGTAGTTAATAAATTACCTTGCATATTCCCCTTGAAATAACTATATTCTACTAGACTAAGGTATTTTCTTTATATACTACCAGATTACTATATATCTTTCCTATTCTCTACTGCTTGAAATAACTGCATCCCACTAGACTAAGATATTATGATTTTCCCTTTTTTTCTTTCTTTTTACTAAGTTATGGTTGGGCTCCGCCTTTTGCATGATAGGGATATTATTATAGTCCTACTACATATAACTACAGGGAGTAGGTTATGTAATATAATAAGATATCCCTATAGTGGAAGCTATAGTAAAATAATCATCTTTCATCCATCAACAAAATCCATCACCACCTATCGTGGTTTTACGACTACCATTGTAACAGAAGAGGTCTTTAAACAAGGATATTATAAGGATCTATGATCCATGAGAATTGGAAAACTAGTGTGAAAGAAGAATGTTCACAAATAGATTCAAATATAGGTGTCCTTATTCAAAGAGATTATTACTAAACTTCAGAGTTTAGTGGTTGTGGGCAGGGTTTATATCTTTATAGGTCATGTGACTATTTATATAACCTCTTATAAGGAGCCTTCTCATCAGTGGGCTCCTCTACAAAGGTAGCTTTAATATAATATATAATAGACCTTTTTAATCCTTATAACTACCCCCCCCCCCCTTGAAAGACCTTAGCCCCTAAGGTCTATCTAAGGTTCCTTATTTGCGATAGGGTACACTAGTAAAAACTCAGTAAAAACCCCCTTTTATAGAGGGAAAATCATAAATAATAGAAAAGGTTTACTACCCCCTTCTTTTATAAACTTATGTTTATTTATCTTCTTATAAAGGCTTAGTTATAGGTGGACCCCTTTAATTATAATATCTTTAGTATTATTAAAATCTTCTTATAGTATATTTTAGGTTTATATTACTTATTCTTATGATGCTCCTAAAAATCCCTTAATAGTCTTATTATATAAAATTTATATAGAGTAGGGTTTAGAGTAGTAGTAATTTTTATAAAGTATATAATCTCTTCTTCTCTCTATCTTCTATATTTTTCTTAGTTTTTATTATAAAAGTTTTAATAAGGGACCTTCTATGATTTATAATATTTAGAAAGAGGTAGTTAATATCATTATTAGTATTCTTACTAATAATTCTTATAAAAGAAGGAGGAGATAGTCTTTATATTATTACTATTATCTGCTATGCCCCTCCCCTCTATACCTACTACTACTACTATTACTACTAGGCATACTACTACCACCCCTACTAGGCCTACTGCCACTACCCCTACTACTACTATTATTATTACTATTACTACTACTATAGCTCCTTCTATCTCTCTCTCTCTTATTCCTATAGGGGCCTTCCTCCCCCTATATAAAGTTATATATAAGTCTTTTTTTATTAACCTAATAAGAGTATAGCTAGCCCCTATTATAAGAGGAGCCTCTATCTTTAGATTACTACTACCTCTAGTAGATACTCCTAGGGCTAACTAGGATACTCCTATACCTACTACTAGTAATATTATTACCTAGGCTTCTAGTCTAATAATAGAGCTATCTCTAGATACTTAATTCCTTTCTTACTTATAGAGGAATCTAGTAATAGTTATAAGGCTCCTACCCTAGATAGGATTATAATCTCTATTAGGCTAGAAGCAAGTATAGATTATTAGGACCCTACTTTACTCTTTTAACTAGTATAGCTTTAATATACCTAGTTAGCTAGGAGTCTATATCTAGCTCTATAAGACTATTTTTATAACTAGAGCTAGGGTAAGACCTCTTACTAGCTAGAAGTATATTATTTATTATAATCTAAGTATAAGCTTAGTATTTATAGTATATATTTTTAGTAGATTAGCTAGGAAGTATAATAACTATCTCTACTATAGCTATAAGAATTATTTTTTTTAAGTAGCTTTAGGTTTAGTAGCTATCTTCCTAGCCCTATAAACTATATTATACTTATACTTAATATTAGATATCTTTATAATTATAGATTTAGGAGTTAGGGATTTTATATTTTTTTTATTTATTATTTTATATTTTTCTTAATAAAGATAAGTTTCCCCTCCTTATATAATTCCTTATATAGTCTTTATAGATTTATAAGTAATATATATCTTTTATAAATTTTTAAGTATTATCTTTCTTAGTATATCTCTTTTACTAGATATAATACTCTATAGATTACTTATTCTCTTATAAGTCTAAGATTATCTCTAGATAGTATTTATAATCCTCTTCTATAGCTTTATAGATAGGGAAGTATTTCTATAAGTTTATTTTTTTTTATCTTCTTATATTTATAAAGTATAGAGATATAGAATATATTATATATCTTAAGGCCTAGTAGTAGATTTATATAATAGGCTAGATTATTTATATATTCTATAATTTATATTAGATTAGTATTTAATTAATCTAACTTTATAGTTAGTCTAATCTATAATATATTCTTAGTAGAGATCTAGACTTAGTCTCCTACTTAAAATATCTTTATAATATATTTCTTATTATAATATTTCTTTTAATAAGCTTAGGCCTTTACTAAAGTCTTCTTTATATATTTATAAATATATTCTAGCTTAATTAGTCTCTTTATAACTAACTCTTCTATAATCTTATCCTTTAATTAATTTATAAAATCTATTATTATTATATAAGGGTTAATACCTATAACTATATAAAAAGATATATTCTTAATAAATATATAGTATATATTATTATAGATAAACTCTATAATAAAGAGATAATTAATCTAGTCTTCTTAACTAAAGTTAATATAAGCTTATAAGTACTATTCTAGTATATTATTTAGGTATTTTATTTAGCTATCTATTTATAGGTAGTAAGTTATAGAAAGACTCTTATAAATTAGGAGATAAAATATAAAATCTATCTAGAAATCTTTTATAAAGATAGAACCCTAGTCTATAATAATCTTTTCTAAGATTATATAAAGTTAGAAGATCTTATAGATAAGAGTTATTACTAACTTCTCCCTACTAAGGATAGTCTAGATAGGTATAAAATAGCCTATTTTATTAAATTAGTCTACTACTACTAAAATATTATTAAAAGCTTCTTATAAATTTACTATAGAAGTGCTTATAGAGAGATCTATAATTAAATCTATAGTAATTTAGATTTAGATATTTATAAAAATAGATATAAGCTTTAATAAGTCTTATTACTTACTCTAGATCTATTATAATCCTTAGTATACCCTATAAGCTATATAGTATTTATAGATAAAGTTCTTTACTTCTAGTTATTAGAAGTATCTTAGGACTAACTCTCTTATCCTTTATTCTATAAAGTAGCCTATAAAGGGGTTATTATAGAGTTTTATAAGGATACTTAATCCTAAGCTATAATAGTCTAGGATATAGAGTAAGCCCTTAGACTAAGTTATATTTTACTTTTAATATTATTAGGCTCCACCTTTTTAATAATAGAGATATTATGATGGCCCTGCCTTATGTGGTCCCTACCTTATGTAGTCCTACCATAAGGTTGGTCATATGATATAGTAAGATATCCCTACAGTGGAAGCTATAGTTGAATTAATCATCTTTCTACCATCAACTAAGTCCATCACCACCTTTATGGTTTACATCTACCATCGTAACACCATTCCTCTGAGACACAAATATTAACTATTAAAATGTCTGGTATATCAGTTAGCATCTCCAATCCTAGCCAGAAGCATGTGACCCTATACTATGAAGTCTATTATTTGCTGCTAATGTTTTTGAGAAGCATAATATTTTAGAAGGGGTGCTATAAACAACCTAATTAACATATCGTACCAAAATAGGTTTAGTGGGCTAGGTTCATAGCCGTGGGTGTTGGGTCGGCAGTCCTTGCTGATGCCTTGTATTTGTCAGCAGCATCTCGACAGAACATGGCCTAAGTACAGGTTTGATGCGGAGTCACAGAGTGGTAGAATATTAATCTAAACTAGGAAGCAACTCTACTGTGGTCGACACATTTGTAGATGTCAGTTGAAAGCGATAATAGTATAACTCCAACCGCATACTCCTGCTATATCCTACGACATCATTTACTTCAGACCAGCGAGCCTCCTATACCCGATGTCTGGCAGAACGCTGTTACTCTCTCCTCCGTCCCTTTCCTCCCAACCGGAAAGATTGAATGGTATCCTTCAGTCTTACGACCGCAAGACAACTGATCTGCAGATGCTAGATCGCTTGATCCTTGGGGTTGTAAATCTACCTGATGCCGCATATTCCAGGATCATCATATTGGCTGGTGAAGAGGACTCAATTTCTGAAAGCTCAAAGCTGACCACGCGCGAGACATTCAGTCATATTGCTCGGTCACTCCAAAAGGGTGGGTATATCTGCAGCCAGCACGAGCAACAAGGACAAGCATTCGACCACAACGAAGCTGTATTAGTTGGACTGATACCCACCGACAACGGCAAATTCGTGAAACCAGATATCGAGGACATGCGAGCGGTTCCTCTGCGGCTAGGGAGGAAGAAACATGACAAAACCATAAGTTCTAACTTGGCCGAACCTGTTAGAAATCATCAGGCATCACCTACTGTTGCTCAGGACCAGGCCGAGGATGGTTTCCGCTACTCTAGTGGGCGAAATATTGTCACAGCAAGTGCTCATGAGACTTCTGATAATGAAATCATCGACGAGGAGGACCTCTTAGATGGGAGTGAACTCGCGGCCCCTATTATACAACGTACGTACCCCTTTGCAATGTACAGTCTTTATTCCAGCGAGAAGTGGGTGCGGCGGGTTTTTTAAACATTGTTTGCTGAATTCATTGCACTTTTCGGCGCTCTGGGTTCACTCCAACTGATGATGAGGCCAGCACCGGAATGTCGCCCGAAAGCAGGAAGGCGCCGTCGGGCTTGCAAGGATTGCACCTGCGGGCTTGCTCAGAAACTTGAGGAAGAAGATGCTATGAGAAGACACGCCGCTGATAAACAGCTTGGTGCCATGAAATTGAGTCATGGCGACTTGGCCGAAGTCGACTTCACTGTACAAGGAAAGGTGGGAAGCTGTGGGAACTGCTCCCTTGGTGATGCTTTCCGCTGCGAGGTACCTTTTGTCCCCTTTAGGCCACGGTGTTAGTGTATCTAACCATACTTCAGGGCTGTCCTTTCATTGGGCTCCCGGCCTTCCAACCGGGCGAGGAAATTCGACTTTTAAACGACGATATCCAGCTCTAGTAGACTGCATTCTTCCCATGCTGATCACTGGTTTGGCCGAGCCATTATACGGCATCAGTGGCATATGAAAATCTGACAAAAGGCCGCTGAATTTTTGTTTGCAGCGTTCCAAGGCCAGTTCGCATCAGCCATCAACTTTATTTGTCTATCCGCACCAACAACTGTGCCGATATAACTCAAAGCGGTACTCCAACGCGAAGCCAGAAAATTGTGGCCTCTGGCAAGGGCTTCGGGATCCTGGGTACAGCAATGTTGTCCTCAGCCCTTGCCAGTACCATGGTTGTATTCAGTGATGGCAGGCATATGTAATATGCTTGTCTGGACCAAATCCAATAACGACTAATGTGGTGACTCATGTTAGGTGGAATGGGACGAACATATAAAGCAAGGGTGAATACTAATCTGTCAAGAAACACTCATCTGTAAAGCCCTGCAGGTTCTTGTCTATGGATAATGAATATCTATGTCATTAGGTAAATGTTGGGTAATTGTATAGTTAGATATGGTGTCTAAGGAGTGGTGCAGTAGTTCCTATCCCTATATGAGTATGATGGGGAGATGGCTTCTTCATTCTTGGTATGTGCCATCTGACTATATTAGATTATATTATAGTTCTACATCAAGATTTTCCATGCAGCCATCCTCATCAGGAGATATATATTTATCTCACATATATAATTATATTCTCATTGTACTTGACATTTTTCATATCTCCTACCTCACCTGCACAGCTTGTCTTACTTACTGTAAGACTGGTATAATATCTGATAGAAGATGGTAATAGATCAGTGTGAAGGGATCATAAGGTTATAATACTATTAATAGGAGAATAAAATACTAATCTATAGAATCTTCCTCTGCTAGTAAGGTTTCTAAGTATTTAAAAACCTAAGTACTTAGAAATTACTTATTATTTATTTTTTTATTTATATAGAAAAAGTATAATATAAAGTAACTTATTTTTTACTATAGCTATTATGATATATATTTTTAGTAGAGAGAGTAATATACTTATTTAATATAGACTATTAAAAATAATTTTAAGTACTTTCTAAGTACTTTCTAAGGATTTAAAAATTCTTTATATACTTATCTTTCTAAATAAATTCTAAGTATTTTCTAAGTACTTAAGTTTTTAAGTACTTAGAAAGTAGTTAACTTTAATATTTCTTAAGTTTATTAAAGTACTCTATATTTAAGTTTTAGATAAAATAAGAAGGATATTTAGATTTTAGATAAGATAGTAAGGTAATATATAGGTTACATAAGCTATAAATACTTATTAATGATCTCAGCAGTTATATATATAGGTTATGGCTCACATAAGCAGTCTGGACTATTCATATAAGCTGTGTATACATTAGCACCTATGTGATATTAGTGATATGAGTTTGCTAATATTAAATCAGCAACAGAGATTACCCTAGGCCTTCCTATAGGACTTAGTCACTGTAATCAGCGTTTTTCATCTCTCCTACCTTACCTATATAGCTTATCTTACTTATTATAATTAGTTCCTGTTATTGTTAGGAACAGTGCCAGAGAATAGTTCCACTGAATGAGCTAGGCAAGGCACCAAGGCCGCACCCCAGCAAATATTAGGGCTGACTTAGCATGTGATGGTCTAGTGTAAAACCTTACCAGTAGAGGAAGATTCTATAGACTAGTAATTAGTTCTCCTATTAATAGGAATATAACCCTATAATCTCTTTATACTGATCTATTACTATCTTCTATTAGATATTATACTAATCATATAGTTCTAATTACTTCCTAAAATCTAATTAATATACTAAAATACTATAAGAATACTAAATATCTATAGATAATCTACTCTGGGATCCTTCCTCTAGTAAATATTAGACTAAAGAACCTAATATAGTAGAGAAATGCCCCTAATTACTAAGAAGGCTACTAAGATAATAAAAATAACTTTAGATAGAAGGGGATAGCCTAAATCCTAAATCTAATAGAGATAGGATAATAGTAAATAGAACCTAAGTAGTTAGATTAAGAAAAAAGATATCTAATTTCTTCTAGAAGAAGAATACTACTTAGAGCTAGAAATCTAGAGAATAGAAATCTAGTAATAGCTAAATATGAAATAAGCCTAATTATAGGATTATACCCTAGAAAGTACTAGAGAAACCCTACTACTAGAGAGAATAACTCTCATAGATAAGGGTATATCTAAAATAATAAGGAAAATAATCTATATAGAATAATTAAAGAAATTTATAAATATAAAATTATTCTTAGTTATAATAATACAGGAGTATATTACCTTTATAAACTAAATATAGATATATTTTAAGGAGTATCCTAGCTAGTTTAAATCTAGAAATAATTAGATATAGGTAGCCTTAGTCTGACTTATAGATAATTAATATAATAAATAATATATATATAAGGCTAAATTATCTAGACCTCTTTAGTAGGCTAACTTTATAAACTTTTATATATACTTAGTTATAGCCCTAGAATACCTATATAAGGAGGCTATAATCTGATTTTATAATACTACTTAAAGACTATAGTAAAGTATATAAGAATTTATAATCTATCTAGATAGTATTTACTCTTAACTAGCTAAGCTAATACTAGGTATTTACTATAAAGATATTCTATACTCATATATTATTCTGATTATTTAAGCTAAAGTAGTAAGATTTTCTAATATATTAGAATCTCTAAAAGTTTATATCTTCTATTTAGCTATAATTAAGGATGGTATATTAGAAAGATAAGAGATATTATAGAAAAAATAATTTAACTAGTTAAAGTAGGCTTTAAAGCTAGGATATTAATATCTATCTAAATTAGAAGACTATAGACTAAGATAGTAAGAATTCTAATTAATAGGCCTAATAAAGAATTACTAGAGGAGAGACTCTCTAAAGAGGAAATTTTCCTGCTCTCCTAGGAGAGATAAAGTAAACTAGACTTACTAAAAATATAGATAATTTAGTTACTAGGTATATAAATATACTAAATCCTAAAAAAATAACTAGCTAAAAAACAAGATACCCTATGATTGATTGATTGATTGATTGGTTCCTTACTCCATTTTGGCACTGAGCTGGGCTATGCCAGAGGCTCCTATCAAGTAATAAGCTATGCATTATAAGCAGCCATCCTATTTAGACTATACTACTATAATTTTATATATATATAAAGTATAAGAGGATAGGATATATAGGTATATATATATATATCGTCCTTCTCTTTATAGCTACTACTACTACTAGTATTACTACTACTACTTAGTTAATCTACTATTCTATCTTTAATTTATTATTCTAATATTACTCTCTTACTACTATTAGATACCCTATATCTCTTAGATTTATATCCCTTATATCTCTTTACCCTATATACCTGTTTAGGTGCCTACCCCTCCCTATTCTATATTTATATATATAGCCCTTAGTATTAACTAGGTAGATTATAGTTTCCTATACTATATAGGGTAGGGGAGCACTAGTAGTATATAATTATTAGTTAGTATCTAATACTATAGAGTATACTAGTTAGGGCTATATATATAGATATCCCTACTAAGAGTAAAAGTATATAAGAGGGAAGCAAAAATATATATTAGTAGTTATCTATAGATATTCTTAATAGTTAAGTACTACTAAGTATACTTAGCTTAAGGTATACTAGCTAGGTAGCCTCTACTAGATATATTAGATAGCTAGTATTTAATATAAACTATGTAGTATATTAAGTATTCCTTATCTTTATTAAGGCCTCTATCATATCTTAAGGGATTCTATCTATCTATATCTACTAGTATAGGTTATTATATTCTATATAGGTAAATAGTATATAGTAGATTATCTTAGGAGCCTACTAGCATAGATAGGTATATTAGGTTATTAGTCTAGTTAATTAATAAGAGGTAGCTATTAAGGCCTATCTTCTCTATCTATATCTATACTAGTATGCTATATTCCTGTAAGGATCACAAAGGTCTATTATGTATTATATTAAAGCTACCTTTGCAGAGGAACCTAATGCTAAGAAGGCTCCTTATAAGAGGTTATATAAATAATTATATAACCTATAAAGATATAAACCCTGCCTATAACTACTAAACTCTAAAGTTTAGTAATAATCTCTTTAAATAAAAATATCTATATTTAAATCTATTTATAATTATTCTTTTTTTATACTAGTTTCTAATTCTTATAGATTATAGATCCTTATATTTTATTACTTAACCTTTAAAACTAGTCTATTAAGAAAATAGTATTATAAAAGAAGTTAATTAAACTAGAACTATCTAGTAAACCCTCCTCTATAACTATATAAAGTTAAATAATAAGAAAAGAGATAGCCTATAAAAAGAAAGGCTCTAAGAATAAGCTAGGTTTATAAGATTTTTTTATTTTAGTAGATCTAAAGTTAATAAAAATAATCTCTATAAGAGAGTATCTATAATAGGAATTATAGCTTTTATAAGAAATCTAGAAGCTTTATAATAATCTAGGTATAGGTCTTAGAAAGTACTTATAAAGCTAGGAATAAAAGAAATTATTCTTATTATCTATAAAGAAGACTAATCTCTAAATCTAATTATTACTAGAGTTAGAGAGATACTTAACCTATAACTATATAATATATTAAGCCTTTATTATAAGCTAGAAGTCTACTATAAAAGCTAATAACTAGAATAAAAAAAATATATAAAAATTATAATAGCCTATCTAAATTATATCCTCTCTAATCTTTAGTAAAGTAAGATATTTAAGAACTTTTATAATTAAGAGTAAAAAGATCTCTATACTTTTTTAGAATTATAGCTAGATAATCTAGAGAATTATAAATAGGAAGTATAATTATAAATATTTTAAATAAGGCCTTATAAAAGAGAAATAAACTATATATACTAGTAGAGATAGTATAAATAATAGATTAAAATTAGAGATAATATAAAAAATATAAAGAAAATATAATTATACCTCTTCTTTAAGTTCTTCTTTATAGTATTTAAATAGAAGATCTATAAGTATTTAAAATTTCTAAAATTTAAGAAAGAGATAGTCTCCCTACTTATAAGATTATATCTAAATATAAAATAGAATATTTATTAGGACTCTTTATATAAAGATAAGGATTATTAAGGCCTTAGGAACTTAGGAAAGCCCTTTATAAATTATATTACTATAAAGAAGATAGAGATAATAGAACCTATTATAATTATATTATTTATAAAGAGGTAAGGCCTATAATCTTATATCTTTAGTATCTTATAGATCTACTTTAATTATAATAAGAAAAAATATATTAAAAAATATTACTTA